GGTGTTTACCAACTCTCAGAAATTATGCTAAGTTGTTGCCAGGACATTGCAATGTGATTGTTAAGGTTTTCTAAATGCGGTTCCTTGTTTTAGCAAATACCACTAATAGTAATGATCTGTATAAAACACTACAAGACAGCATTAGTTCTGGTACAGCATGTAATGCCACCAGTCCATACACACTATATCTCATAAATTCTACATCGATTCTCTACAGAAAGTGGACACGGTTTATTCAAAGTCTACAGTTCATGCCATCTTAAAGGTATTGTAATGTGCTGATCATGGACATGCAGATGGTATATGACAATTTGATTAATCCTGTAAGAACATGCATGGCTTGTCAAGTCCATTATGTGACTCCAGTATGCATTATGTCCAAACGATGGCTCAAATCAGTGGCTTATAGCAGCACAGTGAGACTCTTGTAGGTTGCATCCAAGATCTAGGCACTAGTGTAGTTTAATTAAAAGACGTAGACGAGACCTACAGATACAAGACTGCTCATGCTCAGCTTCAACCTTCCAACTGGGCCTGACCACCTGTCCCCTCCCACCCGTCCCTCCGTGAGGAAGAAGAGGGGACTGACAGATGGTGCTTCGGGGCCTCAGAGTCAGAAGCTGGTTTTTCCACTCTCCACCCTCCATCACATTCAACGGCGCCACCTGCCCTGACCGACAAAACACTTTCCCTGCATTGACATTGCTCATGGAGAATCCAACAGACCAGAATGAAAGGTCTATACCGCACTTCAAAATTCAAGACAAATTCCCCTGCATGAGGTTTTTGTCTTATTTATCAAATGATAGAGTTAAGCAATATCACACAAGCAAGAGTGTGGTTTTTTTCCAAATTGATTGCTATGGCAAATATTATGCTGATTTTATAAAACAGTTCAGTAAACAAGTTGTTAATATTGTGAGTTAGATTTTAGACAATACTGTTAATAGTTTTTGCTCAATTTTGCCAACAAAAAATAAATAAACTTACAGTCTCTTATTATTCTAATTGAATTTATTGGTTAAATGTAAGAATTTGACTTCAAAGATTGTGAATATATTAATAAGTAGAGGTCGACCGATGTATCGGTTTTGCCGATTAATCGGCACCAATAGTTGATTGCTGGAACTATCGGTTATTGACAAAAATCCATGCCGATAGTTTTCCGGGTTGCGTCCATTGCTGGAGCGGCTGAGAAGGGTCTGCTGTCATTACACAGTGCGAGAGTGGCCTCTAGTGGTTGAAATCATTGACAACACATGCTATTTGTTTAGACACGTGATGCTGCACGCTGAACAGAGAGGGAAACTTCAGACGCGGATTTGAATGCAGCCGACAGAAAATCCTGCCGTGCCACAGAGCGCCATTCACATAGTTTTCCTTTAAATTACATTATATTGGTCCCGAATCATTGTTAATGTACATAATGAATTGTGTATTGTGCATTTTCAGCAAAACGTTTGTCTTTCTGTGGCTCTAATAAAGTCTGTGTGCTTCATTTATAGAGCTATAATATAGGTTGTGCTTTCTCTTTCCGTTTGCTCCGTTTTTTAAACACCGAACTTCAAACTCATCTATGCCAAATTGTTCATTCTTGAAATAAACTTGTGTCTGTTTGGTGATTAAATAAACGGTTTTAGACCGCTGCTCGAGTTGAATGCGACGCGTCCGGAGGGTGTGTGGTTTTCCTAGACTCAGCGCTGCACTTTTATTTTGATTAGATAATCAAGTGTTCAAGAATAGAAGCAGTTAAAGTGTGAGAGTATACATACAATATCCATATGTATATAATTTTAATGCTATAGCCTTTGCGTATATATTTAAAGATGTGCGACAGTTGAAATTATATGGTAACACTTTAAAATAAGAATCCATTTGTAGCATTAAGATTAGTGAAAGCTATGCAAGTAATGTTCCTTGTTAGAGTGCGCTAATTTCAACATTTACTATTATTTATTTTTTTTACTACTACTACTAGTATGGTTCAGTACTGTTTTTGTTAATAAAGCACTATTTTAGTTTTTGTTCAGTATCAATTTTAAAACTATCGGTTAATTAATCGGTATTGGCCAGTGTGGTCCAACCTATCGGTATCGGCAAAATCCACTATCGGTCGACCTCTATTAATAAGGTTTAAAAAAAACTGTCCTCATAAAATGTAAAAAATGCCCCTGCAAATCAATTTAGGAGGGAAAATATCACTTGGAAAAGTTCATTTCTGTCACAGCTGTAAACAAACCTCCACACAGGATATGATGAATATGGAAAACTTTGAGAGTCATTCGCTTTATCTGCAAAATCCAAGAAAATATATAGTGTTATTGTTATTGCTCTCATATGTTTTCATGGGGTGAACCACTTAAACTGTAAAGCCAAAAATGTGGATTATATTTCCCCCAAATCCATGCAAAACAATAACCTACTAATTTCTAAAAGTTACAAATTATTCCTAGTTTAAACAACCACAGTTTGACCAATTCCCCAATTCAGTTTTACCAATTCATAATTTCACCAATTGGTAAACCTGTGAAATTATGAATTCAGTTTACCAATTCATAAATTCACGAGATTGCGGTTTTGCTCTTACTATATTGAAATAAACTTGACTACTCTTAGTGGATGAAGCTGCTGAAAATAGACCAACTATTCATCAGTTAAGAAGTTGGACCAAACCCTTACATATGCAGTTAATAAATGAAAACCCTTTAACAAATTAATGTTACACAGTAAGTGCATTTAATGTTACAGGCTCATTAATCAGCAACAAATTGGTGTTTTTGATCAATTTGTAATGATATATTCCAGTCTACTTTTTAAAATCAGCCAATCAAATGGCAAACCACTTAAAATACTTTTTTTTTAAGGATCCTAAAGTAAACTATATATTATACTGTACTTTTTGCAATCAATACTGTACAAAAATACTGCAAACAGCAACCTGCTGAAATAATTTTATTTAGGCACCAATAATCAAAAGAAATTCCCACAAAATTCTGATGTGGGCTACAAAAAAAAATTCACTACAATGCCATACAAAGCATTGCACTACTATCCAATGCTCTGATCATAATACAGTGGCCTGTACTGTCGTCATCATTCAGAAACCTTATGTCTCCTCTCAAATCTCCGCCGGCAAAGAGTAAGACCTTCCTCTACGGATGAGCAATTCCTCGCAGGAGTTATTGAGATGAATCGTCAAAGAGGTGTAAAAAGAGAGAGCCAAGCACACAGTTCTTCTCATCCCTAGTGGAGAAACTCTGGCGGGGGGGGAAGGGGAGGAAAACCTGATTACGGTGATAATGGCTGGCTGTAAATAAAGAGGCTGTGACAGTCATTTTTCAATGAGCTTTCCTGCCTCACTGATATTATGTTCAGTTAGACTCAGATATTTCTAGAATGGGCCAGTGGCAAACGATCAATCAAGGCTGTCAGCGGTCTCTCTTTGCATCTCTGGGAAGGAAGCCAACATTACTAAATAAAGGTGCACAGACATATACTGTTCAAAATGGCAATTAGTGTCTTTGATGCAGTTTTACACTCCAGTTAAAACTGTAACAGCAAGAACATTACTGCCAATATACACTTAAATAATTACAGAACAGTGAGGAAGGAGATATCGCTTGTTTGGCATATACTTGCAATACAATACAACACCATGCAAAACCAACATGTATTCCAGGAGAAAACAAAAAGGTGATTGAGTATTTCTACTGAATCAGTACTTCATGAAAAAACTTAGAAGGCTCTTTCCATAAGTGTATTTCTCTCTCATCATCTCTCAACATTTTTGCAAATATAGCCAATGACAGAGTTTTTCAAAGACCCATGAGAAGATGCTGAAAATGAGAACAAAATGCATTGGTTTTACTTTTGCCAAAGTTAACATGTTAATTAAAAATTTAATTATTTTTTAATTAATATAAATTCTAAAATGAATACATTATTTGAATATTATTAAAATAATATTATCAACTGAATACATTTAATACATTTTAACAGGTCAGGTATCTATTTATTACATTTTTTTTGCATTTTAAGGACAAATTGGAAACCATAAGATGAATCATGCCACTTTTATACTATTTACAGACAAATGTATTCTAACTAAGCCAGTATTCTCTGTAAAGCGGTTTTTCCTGATTTTTTATATTTTGCTTTCACTTTTGTGAATTAACTATTTATTTTAAAAAAAGCTAATTTTAAATAAAATACTGAATTTAGGAAACAACATGTTTTTGTAATAGGATAGGACATGTAATATTATATATTAATATTGAATAATTTTTTTTATAGTAGTATTTAATCAAACTAACAATATTCATATTTAATAAAATAGTTCACAGCATAAATGGGCCTGTATAAATAAAAATAGTAATACGTGGTCATTATATCAGTGGATGAGGGATCATATTTGGGGTTATATATGGCATCAAAAATTTGAAAGCATCCCATCATTCTCTCTTTACGGTCAAAATGATCCCAAAGAGTATCAATATCAAAGGCAGCAGCCTTAATAAGTCAAAACACACATGCACTTTAACACTTCAACACTTCACACCATATAACATAAAATGAAGAAGATCAAAACAAACAGTCTCTCAGCTCAAGCACAAACACACACAGGCTTCTCATCCTAATGAGAGCAATCTGATGTCCAAGATGTCACAGCCAAACAGTTTGATTTACAATTAGCGTCACTCTCCCATTCCCAATAGCACAGGAAATCTCTCCAGACATGTTTCAGAAGAAACCGTTTCTCTTGACAGGGAAACACATCCAACTGCTGATCTGTGTCAAAGCTTTTGCCCTGATCTAGAAGTCCCATTGCATAGAGATTGCAATTAAAAATGCATTCATCATTTTTTCATACTGAAGGAAATATAATATAGCACTTGTAGGCTCTGTCTGTTTCCACTGTGTGTGGCCTCAATAAACACAGTCTAATGTACACTACTGACAGTAGCCATGCCAACTAAGAGGAGCTAAAATTTCAAAAGCAGACCAATTCAACATATCAAATCTGCGCTTTTTATGCAAACATTAACAAAAGACCACAGTTTTTCATGTTGGCTTTTGAAAGGGTCAGGTTATGAATCAACAGGGCAGAAATGGTGAAAAGAATAAAACATTCTTCTGAGAACTGGCTGTTTGTGTTAGTAACTAAGCATCCCTTAAGAAAAGAGCTCAGGTTCTTCAGCGGTCAGCAAGTCGGTAGGTTTCAGTGGTTGATAAAACAAGCAAAAGATGAACCTGAGATTTAAAAAAACAAAACAAAACTGTAATTTCACTGAGATCGTTTCTTTTGCGTTCTAAATTAAGAAATCTAAGTAAGAGGAAAAATAAAAAGCAGGCAAGAATAAATTCATTAAAGCATGATCTGTTATTTAGCTAGGCTAATGTAAAACGCAAGGGCAAAGGCATGGGGGTCTTAAAAATGCATATTCTTTTGCATAAGTAAATGTATGTTTTAAAGTTTTCAAATGGCATTTCAGTAGCCACAAAAGTAAGATTAAAAGATATTCAAAAGAATGTGGTACATATCACATCAAAAAAAAAAAGTAGACTGTGTCATCATCATAGATTTACATATCACAATTATATCACAAAAACCATGATTGCACTCTAAAATACAGCAAACTTGATTCACACACCGATAACATTAAAGGCAACCTCCGCTCTATCATTTTACCATACATTTTACTCAAAAACAAGCTTCTTACTATAGCCATTTTTAAACATAGAGGTTAAAGGCATAGTTCACCAACAAAATTAATTCTGTCCTCATTTACTCACCCAAAGTTCACAGTAGCCATTGACTTCCATAGTATTTTTTTTCTGTACTATGGATGTCAATGGCTTCTGTCAAATATTTGGTTAACCATATTCTTCAAAATATCTTCTTTTGTGTTCAACAGAAGAAAAAACTCAAACTGGTTTGGAACAACCTGAGGGAGAGTAAATGATGATGACTGAATTTTTATTTCACAACCCCCCCCCCCCAAAATTAATAAATAAAAATCACAGAATGGAATGGAAATGCTACCAAATATAGCTATCCATTAAGAAACCTTCTACTGTGCTTTTACATTGACGGTAGCAGAAAACATATGCAGAACGCACTTTAGTTTCTCCTGAAGCCAAACAAAGTAATGCAACATTCGAAGATGCTATACTCAATAAAAGTCACTATGCTTTTTCAATTATACCTATTTCATTAATGTTTTATTCAGCCTCTTCATTGATTCACCCTTCCTGATGTCAATGAACAGAGAACAGGAGTTCACTGGCTCTTTGTCATTACCAGGCCTTAATCTAAAATTCATAAGCTTCAGACTGAAAAAAAAAAATGTAAGCTTCACATCAATGAGCAATTCCACAATGAAGTGCGTTACCTGCATCTCTCCCAGGAAATGTCATTTGATGAACGTAATCAAAAAATCAGGCCGAATAGTGGGAGAAAATCCAATTAACCAAAGCAGGAGCAGCTCTCTCAGGGAAATCTATATAGCATGAGGTAATTGGGAAACACCTAGCCTCAGATCCAGGGAGACCCCTGTTATTCCACAAACAATGGACCGTAGATGGATAGATCTATTCAAAACCACCGGTTTCAGTTGACAGACTATTGTACAATACAAAATACAGTTACACGTTCAAACTGAACAAATTATTGATTCATATCATCCTTTTGATAACTTGAATATGGAATTAGGTACTTAAATTTTGGCTTTTATGCCAACAATCTTCTTTATGTCACGGTGTGTGTTCGTCTTAGCGAAGGCGCAGTGTCCTAACAAGAGTTCATCACGCTGGAAAATTGGAAAAGAGCAGCTGTGCATTTTGCTATTTTAATTAATTCATGTTCAACTAGAATCCCAGGTGATCAATTTTACATCTCTAATCGACTCAAATCAAAGAGGACGATGGAAAAAAGCCCATCCACCAAGAATTTCAGCAAAATGAGTCTGTATATTTTAACAGTCCTCCAAGACTCTCCTTTAAGTCTGGGCGAGAAACCAAAACGCCCCTGAAGGATCCAGCTGGGCAACCAGGAAGCCCAAGCCTCATCTACTCGCTTCACGCTAGGATTTACACCAAGCAAAACATGTCATACTTGGACAGGCAAGCAAATGGGTATCCGTTTACAATGTAAAATCAGATTCCCAAAGACAGAAGTGAAACATGGGCCTTGAGGAATCTCTAAGCCAATTAGTTCGGCTCTCGAGAGCAGAATGCGCCTGAAACTGGATCGGATGCAAAGAACGCCAAGGTTTGTGATGCCTGCCCTGAAGTTATTCAGCATTACTAGTTGTTCATTTTCTTATAAAACTTGCATGAGTGATAATCTGCATTGAGAGGCTTAGGATTTGCTTTCAAATAAAACTAAACCAAGCAAATCACACTCTTACATTAACACCAAGACTCTGGCATCATTTTTCTCATGCTTCACTGCTATAAAGTCTAAAATTATCTACAAGCTTTGTGGCCAGCACACGCATTTGCAAGCAGTCATAAAGTAGACACACAAATCTCAGCACAAGTCAATTAAGCAGCCATTGCACCTGGTGCTATGCTATTGGGCCATATGCCAAGGGACGTGCGCGGCCTCAGCTGACCATAAATCACTGGATAATGTGCAGCATGGCCAAGGTGAAAGTGTTCCAAGTTTCTACTTTAGCATGAAAATAAAACTAAAAAAAATGTATCATTTGCAAACGGCGATTGAAGAATCAAATCCAGACACAATTGTGTTTGGAAGTTGAAATGTTTGAAAGCAAATTAGGTGCGTTTAGGAAAAGATCAAGCACCAAATTTAGGAAACGCTGTAGTTATACATACGATATGATGCTATCTACCACCTCAAATCAAAGCACTAACCTTTTTCTGATCTTCCAGACCATGAATCACCTGCTTCCGCTTTGGGGGCTGAGATGTAGATGCCTCGGCTCCCTTCTCAGACATCTTCCAAAAACACTCCTTGAAGTATCCACTGCACTTCTTCAAATAAAAACCAGCCAACGCTCTCCGACTGGCTCCAGTATTCCCAAATCCAAAGTCCCTATGCAACCGAGCTAATTCCCTTTGCCACAGTAATGTCCATTCATTCGTGCGATTCATTGAGTCTGGGGTAGGACAGACGTGTGATCACACCATGGTGCATCCCTTCAGATGAAGCCCAGCACGGCTGCTCTGTGACAGGCATCGCGAAGGGGGGAAGGGCCCCTGTGACCAGCGACCCCAACTTCATAATTACACATTTCTGCATTCACAAAGTCATTTTCCTGATGATCTGAAAACGTGCATATGACACAGCGGCATGTTCTTGCAGCTTTACATCACAGTCGGGTCTTGTAAAATCCTCAAAAAGCACAGATCCAGAGATGGGACTTTTGCGCCACGATTGGTCGTCTTTACATGAGCGGGTGCATGTGGGTCAGAAGGAAACAAAAAGCAAATTCCATTTTGTTTTAATAAAAAAAAAATGACAAAGTGAGGGCAAAATAACTTGCATTTCAAAAGTAACTTAACATTAAATGCAGCAAAGGGAATATGTCATATGAAAATGCATTCCATTTACAACTTTAATGAGAACGACTGAGATGCTGCTAAACAAACGTAATTGCATTCACTGATATATATATTATAGTTATATAATATATCACAATTCATCATTAAACATCCAATAAACAACAAATAAGCGCTGACCTCAATAAACCTTTCTCCCCAAAGTACAAATTCTGCAGGTGACATATTGTGCAAGTTTGATTTCGATAAAAATAAACACATACGTAAGCGGCACACAAACAAATAACCATCTGAAGATTTGTTTTAAAATACCTAGAAAACATTATTCCGACTTCTGGCATTTTATAGGCATGAATTTGAATAGAAACTCTTCATTTAAGTAATCATAGCTCTGCCGTGCAGCCCCTCCTTCAGAACACTCGCATTGTAGTCGAAATCCTTTGGTTCTTACGTGATTCAATATAAAAATATAACATTGAAAAACAATTCATAACGCAACGCTTATCGATAAGGTGTGATAAAGCATATTTAACTCCGAAGCGCTTACTTAATGACTATAGGCAGAAAACTCACCCAAACAAGAGCGCAGAGAGTCCGCTGAGGGATGCGGAGCGGAGCAGCAGTGAGAGCACGCGGCACCGGCGCTACAGCGGCTTCAATCCATCACATTACGTCATTCCGCGCGCACTGCTCTTTCCTCGCCACTTCATGCCGACGAACGTCTCCATGGAAACGTCCACAGCGAATACGCACAGCGGCACCTCGCGGCAGACAACGGTAGTGTCGCTAGCGATATAATCTGATACATAAACACTGTACTGTGCAGCAGGAATAACATGACTGGGCTAGATTCGTTTAATATTTAATAGTTCGATCTCAAACAGTTCAATGCGAGAAATGTGCAAACATGCAAGTAAATGTTCGAGCTATTACTATTACTCACGTGATGCATCAGAAATCATTCTAATGTGCTGATTTGATGCCCCAAAAAACATGTCTTATTATCAATGTTGAAAACAGTTGTGCTGCTATACATTTTTTATGGAAAACATGCTATACTAGCATTCAAAGGTTTGGGGTAAGTAAGATAAATGATTAAAATAAAATAAAAATAAAAACATTGAGCAAGGATGGACTGAATTGGTTAAAGGTGACAAATAACTTTTTTTTTTTTTTTACATAATTTTTATAATTTCAAATAAATGTTATTTTGAATTTTTTCAAAAGAATCTTGCGGGAAAAGGGGGTACCCACCGTTGTTTATTTATTTGTGCTTTAAACAAATACATACATACATTCTTGAGCATCAAAATCAGCATATTAGAATGATTCGTGTGACACTGGAGACTGGTGAAAATTCAGCGTAAAAATATAATCATATAGAAAACAGACACTTTTAGATTATAATACTATTTCACAATTTTACTGTATTTTTTAACAAATAAATACAGACTTGGTGAGCATAAGAAGATTCTTTCAAACACATTTAGAAAGGAAAAAAAGAAAAAGAAAACTATTTTAAACTTTGTATACACATTGGATGTTTTTAAAGGCTAAAATGAAGAGAGAGAAAAAACGCTCTCAAAACATCTCATTTTAATAGGCTATCATTTACAATATTTTTGTATATAGAATATATCTAATAAACTTTCAATAAAACTGAATCCCTGTCAAAACACATTTTCTCTCACATTTGTCTTCTGAAACAAGAAGGAAGTCGATAAACCGCTGTTTTTACCGTGATGTGTATCTTAGGACCACGCAACAGCCTTTTGGTTTTTACCCCCGTGACCTGCTGTGGTAATATCAGCAGAAATCTGACTCCGCCTCCAGTCTGGGTTCCTCCAGCTGTGATTGGCGGAGAGGCGAGCGGAGGCGGGGCGGAGTGCAGCGCCCCGTGTCCAGTATCTAGGCGGGACAAATGGTCAGACTGATCAAATAAACTTTTTTTTACTGACTAGGAAACGGCCACATACAACTTTTCCTCAGCTATGCATCAAAAGCGGGTTGTTTTCTCTTTTTTATTCATTTTCGGTTACTTTAATACGACTTTTAATTTTTAAGTTAATGTACAGAAGTGTTGGATGCGGTATTATTGGAGACCTGGAACTATATAACTTACGTGTAATACCAACCTGTACAGTATTACTATGGATTTATGGGCACGACTGATGTCGAGTAGTATGTGAAAGTGGTACATTTCTCTTTTTGGGTGAGTAACTTTTATATTTTAATCATGTTTTTGTAGTTTTGCCCTATGTAGACGGGAGAAGTGTAATGTTATGTGGTTAGCTGTAAGCTTGCGGGCTAACGCTAGCTGGTTTCAGGCTTGTTTTGGCTTAACATATCCGCTTTAGTTAATAAAATTAATCGACAGATCATATTTGTCCGTATAATATAATACGTACGTTAATTTCGCTTAATATCATACATTTAGGACACAAGCCAGACTGGCGCGGCTCTTGGTAAGTTAGTTTTGAACCCGCGCTAACTGACTGTGAAACCGCTAACTTAGTTTTGTAGTGTTATGAGCCAACATGACTACAGTCTTGATCGTAGTTCGTACGTATATTTATATAATTAGATCCTGGGCCATAATTATGCACTTTACACTAAATAAACATATTATACAGCACGTAAGCGACTGAGTTATTAGCTACCTCGGCTGGTAACGTTACTCTGGTCATTTTAAAAACTGCTTAATAGTTTACATAGATTGTTTTGTGTTATCCAAGGCGCACGACCATCGGGCAGCTAAACGAATTCTTCTAAATTGTATTAAAGTTAGTAACTTCCGGATTAAATCTTTTGCAATCGGCGAGATTCCGCGCCAAGATTTCAAAAAGTGTGGAGGCGCGCGGGACGAGGTGAAGCCCCGCCTCCTAGCGCCGCACTTATTGGCTGCTGTCAGTTGGGGGCGTGTTTTCGTACGAGTTCTCCGTAGCCATTCGATGGAACGCTTGTCAGTTATTACTAAGCGCAAAAAAAACAACGCTGTAATTTGAAATCATAATACTTTTTAATTTATGCACATTGGTTGACATCTGTTAAGTTTTAAAAATCAGTTTTAGCTGAGCGAGAAATTGTTGAACGTTATACCCGGACTGATCTTCACAATGTTGTCTCCAAGAATGTATAATGCTGTAAAGAAACGGTAGGACTGCTTTATTAAATGTAAATAATAATAAGTGAACGTTGATTATTTTAACGTTGCCTCGTGTGTTCTTTTCTTTAGGTGGAAAATGTCCAGTACATTATCAGAAGGTCAAAAGCTAATCAGGAAACCTTTAAGAAGTCCATTCAAGGAAAGATCAGAAAATGACACGGTCAGTTATAGATATTTTGGCTTCAAAATCACAAAACAGTGATTTGAAGAATCTATAAAGTTCACTTGCCATACTCAAGAGCAGGGGTGTCGAACTCCAGGCCTGGAGAGCCGCAGCCCTAATTAACACTCACCTGCCTGTAGCTTTCTAGTAACCCTTCAGACCTTGATTAGCTTGTTCAGGTGTGTTTGATTAGGGTTGAAGCAAAACTCTTCAGGACACCGGCCCTCCAGGACCGAGTTTGGACACCTCTGCTCTAGAGCAGTGGTTCCCAACCCTGGTCCTGGAGGCACCCCAACACTGCGTGTTTTGCATGCCTCCTTAATCAAACACACCTGATTCAGATCATCAGCTCATTAGTAGAGACTCCAAGACCTGAAATCGGTGTGTCAGAGAAAGGAGACATGCCAAATGTGCAGGGATGGGGTGCCTCCAGGACCAGGGTTGGGAACCACTGCTCTAGAGCAGAGGTGTCCAAACTCGGTCCTGGAGGGCCGATGTCCTGAAGAGTTTAGCGCCAACCCCAAGTATACACACCTGAACCAGCTAATCAAGCTCTTACTAGGCATACTAGAAACTTAAAGGCAGGTGTGTTGAGGCAAGTTGGAGCTAAACTCTGCAGGACACCGGCCCTCCAGGACCGAGTTTGGGCACCCCTGCTCTAGAGCAAACATGCCCAAACAAAGGCCTCCAGGACAAAGTTGATCTGTGTTAACCTTTGATTTGTCTTGTCATATCATATCACAAGAGGGAAAACTGGGAAGAAAAAAAAATAAACCATTGAAGCATATCATCATTTCTAATTTATGTTTCTGTTTACATTTTTAATTTTTGCATTGAAATGTAAAGAATAAAAATGACTTAATATAATATAGTTGGATATAATGGAACAATTACTTTGGCTTTTGGCCTTTTGTAGTGAAAGGTTTAGGAAACTCTACTCTAGAAACATTTCTTGAAAAACAGCATGATCATGATCGATAAGACCTAATGTAGGGCTGTCGCGATACCGCACTATTGAAGAGCAAACCGCAGAGGAATGCAAGAACCGCAGCAACTGCGATTTTTGCGTGTTTTCTTTTTTCGTAAGGTTATGCCCCTCTCGTTTTACACTTCATGCATGTGGACTGAATATTAAACAAGTTAGTAATGATAACATAATGTGTACCATGCTGATTTGTACAGAGGCTTTGTAGATTTGCACTTAACAAGCCTATAAACAGACAGTGAATGAGAGAGAGATCGACTGAGCGCTTGCGGTTACTTGCGTCTGTCCTCCAGGCCGAGTATGTGTGTGTGTGTGTATGGCAATAATACCGCATTCCGCGCTGTTGAGCCACTCAAAATTACCGCAAGGGGAATTCCCTCACCGTGACAGCCCTAACCTAATGTTTTTTCTATGAAATAGGGGCATGTTTTTGTGGAGCCACAAACACCACTAAAAAACTCAAGTAAGGCTTCAGAAGCCGCGTTACTGGAGAGCCATAAGAACATGGGGCCCCTGACAACACCTACTAAGGGCCTTGAGGCACCGTCAAGCGATCCCTGGACACCTACCTCCAACCTGAAGATGCTCATCAGTGCAGCCAGTCCTGAGATTCGCAACCGTGAGAAAGAGCGAGCCGTAGACAGCGGCGAATCGGAAAACTCCCAGGTATCGATAGAAGTCTGTGTGCATCTCATGCATCTCCCACTATTTGTTGATTTACTGTCTGTATTGCTAAAAAATGTTTTGAGATATATGTGTGTGTTTTCCATTGTCGTGCCACGCAGGAGCCTGAACAAGGGGAAGAAGTAGAAAAGCTCCAGACAAGCCGTAAAGACAAAAGCCTGGGTTTGCTGTGTTACAAATTTCTTGCAAGGTACCCAAACTACCCCAATCCTGCTGTAAACAACGACATCAGCCTTGACGATGTGGCGACAGAACTAAGTAAGTTGTTCAATGATCAAACAAAACTACTTATTTCAGTCACCAAATCATGTGTTTCATCAATCTTGATTGCTTTCATTCTCACTAACCTCCCAGATGTGGAGCGACGTCGCATCTACGACATCATGAACGTTCTCGAGAGCCTAAACATGGTCAGCCGACTGGCTAAGAACCGCTACACGTGGCATGGCCGAGTGAAACTTGCACAGACACTTGCCATACTGAAACGGGCCGGCAAAGAGAACCGCTACGACCAACTGATGCAGCAGATCCGTCAAAGAAGCCTAGAGCGAGAAGAGGGAGAGTTTGAGTTTAACGGAGAGGAGAAGGAGAATGAAGAAATGTCCGGTTTTGATATGGATGGAGACTCTAGTCAAGCAGAGCTTTCAGGAGCAGATCCTAAAGCAGGTAACATAATGTACGACCATCAGGCGACACTGTATTATTTTATGTATGCATAATAGAAGGGCATTAGGTTTCATTTACTATTAAATGTGTGGATCATTTCGCATTTGTACAACAGAAGAAATTCTCATGAAAAAAATGTATTCACTACACGACACGTGCATACACACATGAATTTGTTCTTAATTTCATTCTAATGTTAATGAATTTGGAGTACCGTATTTTTTGGAAAATAAATTGGGTCAAGTCTGGGGGGAAAACATTCTTGAAAGAAGAAAAAAACATGCTTTTATGTTAATTGCATTATAAGACACATTGCATCAAGTCACTGCAGCGAATGTCAGATGATAAAAACTTGAAAATGTTTTTTTTATGCAGAGAAACCTTGCAGCTCATTCTATAATACAGCTTCTCTTATTGTTCCCCGAATATGATGAAATATTTATGTATGAAATTTAACCCTAACAGGAGTATAAGGCTGCCCAGAGTATGTGATTTTTCCATACATGTGATTTCAATTGTTCCTGCGTTATTTATTTTTGTAAATTTAGAATACATTTAAGTATAAAAGTTATTGGTAAATCATGATTTGTTCAGGAAACGTTTGTATGCAGATTTAACTGAGGCCCATTGTTTTTATCTGCAGCTTCGGCCAACAGTCGAAAAGACAAATCTCTGAGAGTGATGAGTCAGAAGTTCGTCATGTTGTTCCTGGTGTCCAGCCCTCCTGTGGTCAGTCTCGAAATAGCCGCCAAGATCCTCATCGGTGAAGATCACATTGTCAATCAGGACAAAAACAAGTTCAAAAGTGAGTGCTGTTCTCATCGTGCATATAAAAAGCACATTTGAATCATTATTATAGTGGATGGCACATTTGTTTTCCCTTTCAGCGGACAGCTACGAATCTTGCAAAAAGTGCATTATCAGGTGTACTCAGCCAGTAAAACCTGCTTTGAAGAAACTCCTTTTTGTAATGCTTGAGTCTAAAACTTGTCTGTATTTTAACTGTCTGCTCAGTGAAGATGGAATTGATTATCTAAATTATCTCTTTTTTTTTTTGTTGGCAGCTAAGATCCGCAGACTTTATGACATTGCAAATGTTTTGAGCAGCCTAGAGCTGATAAAGAAAGTGCATGTGACTGAGGATAGAGGAAGAAAGCCTGCTTTCAAGTGGACTGGGCCAGAAGACTTACCATCTCCAAAGGGCAAGTGTAGCATATTTCACATGAAATTGCTCATAATCCTATTTATCGTGTTTATTTTAAGCTGTCTGTATATGGTCACTTCTTCTATCATGTGTTGTTATTGCTTATGTTTGTTTTATAGATCTGGGGACCTCAACTTCAACAGCAGCATCACGGCCTCTGGAGTCCCGTTCCTCTGTTGACAACTGTGCCAAAAATCTCTTTTCCTCACCCGGAACAAAGCGAGGTTTTACTCGACATCATTCCTTAGTCAAGCTGGTCAAGAGTATACAAGATGACCGCAGAAAAATCAACTCTGCTCCTTCTAGTCCGATTAAAATGACAGGTGAGCCATAACTGTTTTTTCATCATAAGAAAGCAACCAACTAATGATCTTCTGTTTTCTGTGGGGATTTTCTACTTTAAGGTTAGTCGTTATTAATAGTTCCAGCCTCTCTTCTGCCTTCCAGCTTGAGATTGCCTTTTTGAAATCTGACCACACAAACAAAATTATCTTTGGGGCTCTTTGTGTTGCAGTTAGGGGTGGGCAATATGGCAAAAAATATCATATCACGATTCTTTGTCATGTGGGTTTTACTATTTTGTCTGAGCAGTACAGCCAAACTTATTTCCTATTTTTAAAAAACAAAGCCTTACAAGGTAACAAAATATATATATATATATATATATATATATATATATAAAAAGAATGGCAGATATTTAGGCCGATTTTGTGATTATTTGATCTTTTCTGTTAAAAAAAATAAGAACAAAGATACACATAACACACAGATAAAACAAACAGTGCTTTATTTTTCTGGTACAGCAGGTGTATTTAGCAGTAGCATTCAAGATCAATCAACAAATATAAAAATAAAACACTATATTCACTTCACTGTATAAATTATACATAGATTCTTATTAAAGCAACTGTATTAATATTCTTCAGTCAAGAGCAGTTTTGATGTTTTATTAAGATTAAGGGGATAATTCACCCAAAAGGTGTCATAATGTTTCATTTTTATACCATCATTTACTCACGCTCAAGTTGTTTTTAACCTGAATGAGTTTCTTTCTTCTGCTAAATGTTATGTTGAAGAATGTGAATAAGCAAACAGTTGCTGGTTCCCACTGACTTCCATAGTATTTTTTCCTACTATCAAAGTCAATGAGGACCAGCTATTATTTGGTTACCCACAATCTTCAAAATATCTTCTTTTGTGTTCAGCACAAGAAAGAAATTAATACAGGTTTGGGACAGCATGTGAGTCAGTAAATAATGACAGAAATTACATTTTTGTGTGAACTGTCCATTTAAAGACAATCGGCAGCATATTTAGTACTGTCGCTTTAAGAGCTGCACGCATCTGTTTTTCTCTCAACTGTTTACTTTCACTTTAGACATAACCAACTGTGTTTATATGTACACCTTGTGTGTTTTCGACAGTATAACTTAATTAATGAAGATAACGTAGTTCAGTAATCAGGCGCTGTTTGAAAGGCTTTTTAGTGCGTGCATGCCTCTGGATGTCTGCCCTCAGAAAAAGCGCACGTCAGAACAGCACGTGAATGTACTGTTTAACCGGCAAGGCTTTAAAACATGCAAATAATGTACTTTTGTGATTGCGAATAAGTGCCAGAGGCGCCAGAACTGCATCTGATAGAATGTGCGCTGTAGCGTGAAACTACGATATATCTTCAAAAGCCGATCGTGGAGACAAATTTTATCGTCCACGATCAAAAATCGTCATTTCGCACACCCCTAGTTGCAATTAAAAGCCTGACATAGAATATGTGTCGTTGAAGACTGGAGTAATTGCTGAAAATTCTTTGCCATCACAGGAGTAAATTATACTTAAAAAAAAATTTTTTTAAATACAAAGCAGTTCTTTTAAATTGTGATAATATTTCTGTTTTTACTGTACGTTTGATAAAATAAATGCTTTAAAATGAATTTAGCATATTGAGATTTCTTTGAACTTTTGAACGGAAGTTTATAAAAAAATTCTAGATGTTTACTACACCTGAAAACTAATGTCCCATTTCATTTTATAGGTGAATCTGCAAACGGCGAATTCTACACAAACAAAATGGCTCACCTGGCTGCTATCTGCAAAAAGCAACTAGATGAACAATCAACGTGAGTAAAGTTTTTGTGTTCCTTAGAACAAAAAAAGACAATGAACTACCCATTTCAGACATAACACCTATGATTTGTCTTCCAGGGGCCATCGTATTCAGCCTAAGAATGAGGTGACAGACGCTCTGAATGGAAGCACTACACTGGTATATGAACTACCTGAATCCACGTCTGCTAGCAATCATCAGTCTCACAGGCCTTTGCGAATGCAGATCCCAGTTCTTCCCACAGGGGCGATTCCTTATCTTTCTACCAAGTGCTCCCCGATCATCCCGGTTCTGATACCCCAGCACCAGGCAGGCGGGTCATATGCTGTTTACATGCACCCCACTTCTCTCAGACCGCAGCCCACTAGCCTAGCAGTCCGTTCGATGACATTTGAGAGCCCAGGAAGTGCAAACACAAAGACATCACCGGCTGCCACAGCTAGCAGTAACCAAACCAACCAACCATCATTACACAGTAAAGAGCCGACAAGTCCCTCAACCCTTAAACGAGCATGTGGAGAAAAGAGCTTAGCAGGAAGTCCATCTAAACTGCAGCGGATAGAGCCAAAGGTGAGGTTATGTGAAGAATATAGGGCATGGTAAATTTGATATATATATATATATACATAGATTTTATTGGTAAAAAAAATTCAGAACTAATTTTTATTTATTGTTATATTTAATAACTTATGCAAAATTGTGTTTTAGTTGATTGCATGTTTTTTTTTACGTTTAATTAAATGTGCAAATAAATAAAACATGCATCCAACTAAAACATATAGGATAGTTTTGCATAAACAATTATTTTACATTTTAAATATTTGCAAATAGTTGTTTTACATGTTTAATTTTCATATTTTTATTTATTTTATATTTTAATGTCCAAACAATACAATAAATTACCATATCTGTGGAAAAACTCATTTAAAAATAAATCAATTAATCAAAAATGGACCCACATATTTCACATGCTTTAAAATGTATAGTAAAAATGTGTAGGTAAATATAATGTATTTTACATTTTAAATATTTGCAAATAGTTGTTTTACATGTTTAATTTTCATATTTTTATTTATTTTATATTTTAATGTCCAAACAATACAATAAATTAGCATATCTGTGAAAAACTAATTTAAAAATTAATTCATTCATCAAAAATGGACCCACATATTTCACATGCTTTAAAATGTATAGTAAAAATGTGTAGGTAAATATAAGAAGAAAAAGAACAGTAATATAATATATATGTAAAATTAAATGTTTGAACTGGCATTTTAAGTCTGAATTATCTTAAATTAACTGCTCAGTACCTGCAATTTATGTGCTTACATTACATGGAGTAACAGTTTTAACCTTCTGGTGTGTTTCCTTTTAAGATTGTTTCACCAAAGCTGTGTGAGATTCTGCAAGCTCGTCTAAAAGCCCATAGAGGGGCTTTTGCCCCCAACCGGCCTTCCCCGAGAGCCCTGCACCTGGAGTTCTCCAAACCCTCTGAGAACCAGCCTCCCTCACTAATCACCAGCACAGCGCCTCTGGAGCACAGCGTGGAGACCTTCCTGGAGAAGGAGGAGAAGGTTCAGACTTCAGACAATGAGGCCGGACTGACACCTGTCAGACCACCACAATCACAGGCCCAGAAGCTCAGCGTTCAGAACATGGTGCTGCCATCTGGACCCATACATACAGAGGTAGGAATACTATTTACTACACTTCATGTGTGCAGGAATACTACACGTGTGCACCTTGTCTGTCTGATCCTCAATATTCCTTATGTTGGAATGATTCAAATAGTTTTTAGCTGTTTTTACCAGTCTTGACTCTAATTTCTCTTTTTGCGTCAGACTTTGATCCCCGCAGGTTATTTGATTCCGATCTCCCAGCAGTCTATCATGAAATTCAGAGATCCCCAATGCTCCACTGGAGAAAGCTCCAAAGCCTCCACACCAACATACAATGTCTATCACACCCCAACTGCAGGTATGCCAGTTCCCAAGGTTATACCAAAAATCTGTATATTTACTATAGAAGGATTGGGGGGGGGGGGGAAATTTTGTCTTGCTATACTTTCTGGTTATATTTCTTTGATCACATATTGATTTTAGGTAGAGTAAAACTTATTTGTGAGTAAACTGTGTTAGTTTTGGGGGGCATTTTCAACTGAAAACAGAAAACCTTTTATGTATTGTGGCCATTCATTACATGTTAACCACATTTGGGAGGATAAAAATGTAAACATTTGAAAGTGGGTTTCATAGTGCAAGTTTTTGAAAATGATACCATTATTATGTCTGTGTAAACTACAAAAATGCAAATTTGTGATATATGGCAATTCATGAGCGCACTATTCATGTGTAAATAGTGAAAAACAGTTAAACATGCACGTAACAAATTGAACAATCACTGATGTATCTGTTCTTTCCAGGTTCCAGACATCCACTTCCTCAAGAAGTCACCCCCACTCGGCTCCCTCTCCACCGGATACCGTCCGTCTCTCCCTTCCATTCTCAAGGGCATCGCATCCACAGCCCCAGTCCTGCCATTCTCAACTTCACCCTGCAGAACCTGGGCCTTATCCCCGGCACCAGCACACCAAACTCCACTCCTGAGCAGGCCAGCATGCTTCCGTCTCCCCACCCAGGGCTCCCTCCACAGAGCATGATCTTTGTGAAGCCCATCTCACCTGCCCGAGCTCTGCAGCCGGCCTCCATACACGGGCAGCCCTTCACCCTCATCAGCATACCACAGGTACAGCCACGGCAGCTATGAAACAATATGGGAAAAAGTAAAGCATAAGGGATAATATACAGTCAGCAATCCACTTTTGTAAAAGTAGTTTTACATAGTGTAAGTGAAGTTATAATATTATGATTTTTTTTTTTTACTAATATAACTAATGTTATAATTTGTTTAAATATTGTAATCTACATTAGACAAAATAGTTAACTGTTGTTCTTAACTATGTTTTTAGGAAACCTAGAATAGAAAAAGTAAAATAAAATATTTTTTGGCTTCAAATTGTTAAAAACACCAATATTGGCCAATGACAAAATATCAAGGATTTCTTTAAATAAATAAAAAATATATATTATGTATGTAGTATATGCCCATTCAAGTCACATTAAATTTAGTTTTCCTATTGCTCGAAAACGAAATTTAGTTTGACCTACACTACGGTTCAAATGTTTGGTGTCAGTATGATTTTTCTTTTTTTGTTTTTTCTTCATTAAAAAAAAAAGTCACAAGTGACATTTATAATGTTATAAAAGATTTCTGTTTCAAATGAAGGCTGTTCTTTTCTTTCAACTTTCTATTAATCAAAGGCTACGTGCACACTTGCGAGCCTCAATTCCGATTTTTTTTCTCAGATCTGATTTTTTTTTGTACAGCTGTTCACGTTGTTATAAATGTGGCCAATATCAGATTTTCATTGTGAACAGATCATGGTTTTGAACTGACACGCATGCGCAAAAGAATGATACAAACAGGGTTTCCAGGTTTTCACAACAAAATCCGCCCAATTGTTTCTCAAAACTAGTCCAAAACTAGCCCAACCATGTTCAGGGAGTTAAACATCGTGTTAGTGGGGTCACGTCAACCCACGAAGTTGAAAAACAACAGTGGAAAAAGTAGCCAAATTCCGCAGGGAAACTGGATTTGGCAACACTTGCGCAGCGTGCCGTCATACGGAAGTAAACACGGAGGACATAAAGTAAGCGATTATTTATAGTGTGATCTGCTGGAGAAGCCAGCGAAGTTATGCACAGGCAATATGAAAAATAAAGACAAGGATGTGACAAAAGACAGCAGAGTTCTGAAACTTTAATGATTCAAGCTCTCATGTTTTGCTTGTATATGGAGTTGTCACTATAATACTTATGAGTTCTGACACATTAAACTTCCACTGACTACCTTTCGCAACTGTCTTGATAACTTGGGGTATGTAAAAATCTATGAAGTGTCTTCCGTCAGCGCGGAATTATGACGAATGTCGATCTAGAGTGATGTAAAAGTCACATGAATTCTGACATGACTGTTCACACTGCGGTCGCATTTCAAAACATCTGTCATGTTTCGGATTTAGTACCACATATGGAAGTGGCACAAATCGGAATTGAAAAGATCAGATTCCATGCGGTTTGTGCTGTTCACACTGTCATGACAAAAACAGATCACATGTGAGCAAAAAAAATCGGATTTGGGCCACATTTGCCTGCAGTGTGAGCGTAGCCAAAGTATCCTGAAAAAAAAATGTGTATCGTGGTTTTCAAAAAATATTAAGCAGCAACCTTCATAATAATTAGAAACATTTTTGAGCAGCAAATTGGCTTATTAGAATGATTTCTGAAGGATCATGTGACACTCAAGACTGGAGTAATGATGCTGAAAATTCAGCTTTGTATCACAGAAATAAACTATATATGAAAATAAAAAAGCTATTTAAAATGTGTATAATATTTCACAATATTACTGTTTTTACTGGATGCCTGATCAAATAAATGCAGCCTTGGTGAGCATAAGACTCTTTAAAAAAAACATTTAAAAAATCTTACAGACTCCACACTTTTGAACAAAAGTGCATTTTTTTGCGTTTTTCGTGGAGCCTCCCTGGGTTTGTGTGAATAGTCCTTTGTTGTTTAAAACAGTCATTCGCATATTTACTCTCTTTCTCCTGCAGCCTTTAATAACCACACCTGAAGGTGCCTGTCAACACCTCCAGCAGAGTTTCTTTCACACGCCCGTCTCCTTCCCTACTGTAACCAACACTGCGGCTCCCAGAAACATCTACATCCCTCAGAGAAAGCTTGATGTGAGTCCAGAGGACACCTAAGACCTTCACACTGACGATCATCACACCTGCAGTCCTTGCGCTGCTAAAAAAACACTGTTCTGTTTGAGCCATTGTGTGTGCTTGTTATTTGTCTTTGAGTGTTTTTTTATGTTTTCCTCTTTTTATATTGTTACTTTACTGTAGGGTATGCATTAACTTCACATTAGTCTGTGGTGCTTGATGCTTTTTACTGCTGAGGCTCTTGAGGAAAGCAGGACAGCAAACATGGTGCTATGCGATTTACCAAGACAGTTGTGGGTTTATTTGCCAAATAAAGGGTTTTCTTTAAATATGCTGTAAATTTAGGGTTAAAGGAAGAATGAGCAAAAAATGGTCAAATGTTGTTAAGGAAATCTAATTTCAGGGATTGTAGGAATTGCCAAATTTTTACGATTTTTTTTTAAATTGTTGTGAGTGGCATCGCCTTAAAGTGTTCAAGTACCACAGTATATTAAATTGCCATAACTTGGCATTGTGTTATGATGTATTAATATGGGAGAATGTTAGATTAAGGGTGTTTTTAAATATTGTAGATGTATTTTATGTTAATGAAATCTAGTAATATTACTATCTGCACATCATTTATTTGAACTGCCTTTACAATCTGATTTCTATGTAATAAACATAAATGAATGTGCTCCACTCTTGTGTTTATTTCATTGTTGGTGAAATGTTTCGAGGAAATGCCTTCCACTATTTCATCGCTGACATTTCTTTATCTTTATGAATGTCTTCAAGCAATGATTCATGTTAGTGAATCAGTATATTTCAATGAATCCAAAGTTCTTAGAACTCCTTGCTTTTTCAAAGCTAAAAACTTGATTATTACAATTTGTATTAACTCCTCAGTTCCAATGTGAAAATGAGCAAGAAGACTTCATATACTTTGAATGTCTTTACAACTATTTTAGACCGACATCATCTTAATAATCGATACAGAAATGCACTGATTAATTTACAGTGGAGCAAACATGTCATAAAAAAATTAAGAGTGTCTATTTACACTAAGTGCAAATAGCCCGTCTTGTTGGTCGTTAGTTGTCAGTTTTAGTGGCACAGGTGGTACATTTAGACGCGATCGACCCGGGTTCGAATCCGGCTTTTTGGCGAACTTTTCTCCCTTTTTCAATCTCAAATCACATCAGAAAAGCATTTATTTTCAATAAAAAAGGAAATAATCAAAAAGCTGAAAAAGTATCGGGTAGGGTTAGGGTACGTGTAGGGAGGGCTTTATTGTCCCAATAAGGTGGCGTCCATTTAATAACTTGAATTAAAATGTACACCCAATAAGTTACCGCATTCTGTTTTATAATGTACTGAGGTGCAGATAATTGGCACTATTTGCAACAAGTAGTATAAATAGCAGAAAATCCTGCTATTTTAACAGTGTAAATAGAATCTATAGCTATTTGCACTTAGTGTAAATAGCATCTATCGCTAAGAAAATTTGCCATTTTCACTCAGTGTAAATAGCCGCTGCCAAAAGTTAAAGGGTTAGTTCACCCAAAAAGGAAAATTACACCTACTTCAACACACCTGTCTAATTTTTAGCCAATCCTGGACACCTGAGAGTCAAGAGCTTCAGGTGAGTCAGATGTGTGTTGGCGCTAAACTGTGCAATGAAGGAGTTCTCCAGCAGTAGCTATTTCTGGATTTATTTGCCACAATGGCGCCGACGCTGATGGCTGCCTCCGTGGCGTGCTCTGCAGTTGTTTTTATGTTTTTGTTAGTTTGTCCTGTCTTTAGTTATATCCCTGCAATCAGTTTCACCAGAGACGAATTGCTGGACATTCGGAAGTACACACCACCCGATATTTCACCGGTTTTCGACTATTCGGATGTTTTGCTGGACATTGTAGTCGGGGGAGCTGCTGTGCTGATCAAACGCTTCAGGACGCGCAGACGGGGGAAGCGAGCCGGTGTTGTGCCGAATTCTGCACCCCTGCCAGATTATGCACCCCCTCGTTGAAGTCGCTACGCCGAGCATCCATCTGGCGAATCTCCGCTCTCTACCCAACAAAACACACAAACTTCTTCTGCTCTCCCGGATAAATAAGGATTTTTCAAACTCTGCTGCTCTGTGTTTCACGGAAACCTGGCTGAAAGACGCCATTCCGGACAGCGCGTTGAGTCTCCCGGGCTTTCAGCTGTTCAGAGCAGATCGCGACGCAGAATCAACAGGGAAATCACGTGGTGGCGGGACATGCTTTTACATCAATGAGAGGCGGTGTACAGATGTAACTGTGTTAAAGAAGATGTGCTGTTCAGATCTAGAAGTGCTCTTCATTAATTGCAAGCCGTTCTATTCGCCGCGGGAGTTTTGCTCGTTCATTCTCGTCAGTGTGTACATTCCTCCGCAAGCACACGTGAGCTCCGCTTTACAGAAACTCGCTGATCTGATCACAGACACAGAACAACACCCGGACTCTGTTTTAATCATTCTCGGGGACTTTAATAAAGCCAATCTCTCCCGTGAACTGCCAAAATACAGACAGCACATCACATGTCCCACCAGAGACAGTAATATATTGGATCACTGTTACACCACAATAAAGAATGCATATCACTCTGTTCCACGGGCAGCTTTGGGGCTCTCTGATCACTGCTTGGTTCATCTTATACCGACCTACAGGCAGAAACTGAAATCAGCTAAACCTGTATTAAGGACTGTAAAAAGATGGACTAATGAAGCAGAGCAGGATTTACAAGCTTGTTTTGACCTCACTGATTGGAGCGTTTTTGAATCTGCTGCCACCGATCTGGACGAGCTCACAGAGACTGTAACATCTTATATCAGTTTCTGTGAAGACATGTGCATTCCTACCAGGACTCACTTAACTTACAACAACGACAAACCATGGTTCACTGCAAAACTCAGACAGCTCCGTCAGGCCAAAGAAGATGCTCACAGGAAGGGGGATAATGTCTTGTATAAACAGGCTAAATACACACTGGAAAAGGAGATCAGAGTGGCAAAGAGGAATTATTCAGAAAAAATAAGGATTAAATTCTCTTCCAGTGACTCGGCATCAGTGTGGAAAAGTCTAAAAGAAATCACCAATTACAAGACACCATCCCCCAGCACTGCGGAGAATCAACACCTGGCAGACGATCTGAACGAGTTCTACTGCAGGTTTGAAAAGACACCCCACACCCGCTCTGAACACCTCTCCACACAACCATTCACACCTCCAGCAACCCCCCTCTCCCCCACACCTGCAATTCAGATCAGCGAAGACGAGGTGCGCCAGGTCTTCCGGAAGCAGAAAATGAGAAAAGCACCAGGTCCCAGACTGTGTTACACCAGTCTGTCTGAAATCCTGTGCTGACCAGCTTGCCCCCATCTTCACACTGATCTTCAACAGATCACTGGAGCTGTGCGAAGTCCCTTCATGCTTCAAACGCTCCACCATCATCCCCGTCCCAAAGAAACCCAAAATTACTGGACTTAATGACTACAGACCTGTGGCTCTAACGTCTGTGGTCATGAAGTCTTTTGAAAGACTGGTGCTGGCCCACCTGAAGGACATCACTGGACCCTTGCTGGATCCTCTTCAGTTTGCCTACAGAGCAAACAGGTCTGTGGACGATGCAGTAAACATGGGACTGCATTATGTTCTGCAACATCTAGACAGACCAGGGACTTATGTGAGGATCCTGTTCGTGGACTTCAGCTCGGCCTTTAACACTATCATCCCAAACCTCCTCCTGCCCAAACTAACTCAGCTCTCCGTGCCCACCTCCGTCTGTCAGTGGATCAACAGCTTCCTGACAGACAGGCAGCAGCTAGTGAGGCTGGGAAAATACACATCCAGCACCCGTACGATCAGCACTGGAGCTCCTCAGGGTTGTGTTCTCTCTTCACTGCTCTTCTCCCTGTACACCAACGACTGCACATCTAAAGACCCCTCTGTCAAGCTCCTGAAGTTTGCAGATGACACCACACTCATCGGCCTCATTCAGGACGGTGACGAGTCTGCTTACAGACAGGAGGTCGAGCAGCTGGCTGTCTGGTGCAGTCTCAACAACCTGGCGCTCAACACGCTAAAAACTGTGGAGATGACCGTGGACTTCAGGAGAAACCCCTCTGCACTCCCCCCACTCACCATCATGGACAGCACTGTGACTGCAGTGGAGTCATTCAGGTTCCTGGGCACCACAATCTCTCAGGACCTGAAGTGGGACACTCACATAGTCTCCATTGTTAAAAAGGCCCGGCAGAGGTTGTACTTCCTTCGCCAGCTGAGGAAGTTCAACCTGCCACAGGAGCTGCTGAAACAGTTCTACTCCGCCATTATTGAATCTGTCCTCTGCACTTCAATAACTGTCTGGTTCAGCTCAGCTACCAAATCTGACCTCAGAAGATTTCAGAGGGTAGTCCGGACTGCTGAGCGAATCATTGGTACAACCCTCCCTTCTCTCCAAGAACTGTACTCGTCCAGAGTGAGCAAAAGGGCTGGCAGAATCACTCTGGATCCCTCACATCCAGCACACTCCCTCTTTGAACTGTTGCCATCTGGTCGACGCTACAGAGCTCTGAGCACCAGAACGACCAGACACAGGAACAGTTTCTTCCCTCAGGCCATCCATCTCATGAACACTTGACAATAACTGTGGAACACACACTATTTATTCACTCATACACTTATCTAACACACTCACTCAGTCTACATTTCAATTTGCACATAATATACCTGTACATACAACTGTCTATTGTTATATACCTGTACATACAATTGTCGATTTGTATATTTTTATTCCTTAGTTACTTGTTCTATTTTTCTATTTTTTATTATCTGTGTTTTTGTTCTGTCACTGTCATTCTGTTACACTGTGGAGCTTCTGTCATGAAAACAAATTCCTCGTATGTGTAAACATACCTGGCAATAAAAACTAATTCTGATTCTGATTCTGATTATATAACAATGACCCTAAAGATACGATCCCCGGACCTGCAATTATCCGCCTTATCCTTTAGGCCACGAGGCCAGCCGATATGGAACTGATGAGCATTTAAGTGATTACACCCACATCTTTACAGAACGCAATGTATTTCAGTTTTGTAATAAATCAATGAATTAAAAAAAAAAACTTATTAATAGTGTATAGCAACCATATATTCACCCCTATATTCTTCAAAGCCCAGCCTTGTCTTTTTTATTGAAGTACAAAATCTTACAAACAGTCACTGTATCATATAAAGCATCCAAAAACCACTTTAAAAAAGTAAACAAAATAAAGAAGTGCAAGAACATAAAGCACCTAATCATCACCATCTTCAGCATTCTGCGCAGTTTCTCCTCCCTCTTCTTCTCCTTATATGGTATCAAGCGCGCTGCACTTCCGGCTGTAAGTAAACAAATCTACATATGTATCGTTACGTAAATGGGCAATCGGTGGTATATTTTCAGTGAACGGCGGGTTAAATAAAGCCTGTAGGCCCTGTAACCTCCTCACATATCTATTATAGCTATTGAAGACTTGGAATATTGCGCATGAATATAACACTTTAATGGGTTTTTATATATTTGCTGTATATTCCCATTCATTGTCATTATATGCCAAAGAGCATATCCGTAATTTTGGCTAA